AGCACCAAGGGTGTTATTGCCAGAGCAAGTCTAAGAGGTCCTTGTTCCCTGTTCCCAGGTGGTTCTCTGGTCTTCATTCCAAATGGTGGTGATAATGTTCATCGATATTTTTTAGCCACTGGGCTGCATTTAAGATTTTAATGCCGAATAAACTACTTAGAGGATGAGGAAGTCTCTGAAATATTTCCCTTTTAAACTTTCTCTTTCAGATACAGCCTACGCACGTAAGTGATTAGGAGGAAGGATACTATAAAGGGACATAGAAATTCCACCAGCCTCCAGATATCACTAGGTTGTAACGCTGCCAAGGTGTGTGAGCTTTTGCTTCAAATTGCCTCAACAGCTTCCAGGTGAACCAGCTCAAGACTTTGCATCAGGCTGAAGATGACTGACTGTGAGTTTGGATACATTTACAAGCTGGTCCAGGACTATCTGAAGTACGTCCTGCAGATACCACAACCTGGAGCTGGTTCAAGCAAAACGTCCAGAGTGTTACAAAATGTTGCTTTCTCAGTTCAAAAAGAAGTTGAAGAGAATTTGAAAACATGCTTGGACAATTTTAATGTCGTCTCCACTGATATTGCCAAAACAATATTCAATCAAGTGATGGAAAAGGAATTTGAAGATGGCATCATTAACTGGGGAAGGATTGTGACCATATTTGCGTTTGGAGGTATTCTCATCAAGAAACTTCTAAGAGAGCAAATTGTTGCAGATATGTATACTTACAAGGAGATTTCTTTTTTTGTTGCTGAGTTCATAGTGAAAAACACAGCAGAATGGATAAGGCAAAACGGAGGCTGGGTACGTGCTATGCAAGTATTTGTCATTGTTCTTTACTGTGCAATAGGAACTGACAGTTTCCTCACTAACTAAAAAAAAAAAAAACTACCTAAGGATTCTGTTTTCCTTGGGTGGTTTATTTTAATTTCTTTTTAATTTTTAAAATACAAATTACTTTCTGGTTCATTTTCATTTCAATGAATCCTAGAACTTTCTAGTTGAAAAACACTTGTGTTTCAGTTTTCATTCCTAACAGTCACAGTACAGTATAGTCCAGTGCAGTCCCAGTGGTGACGCTGC